TCTCGGGTATGGGGTTTAAGGCTCAGGACCCACTAGAGACGTGCTGGGATTGCTGATGTTCATTTTTCATCGGAGGCACACACACACACACACACATATATATATATATATATATATATATAGATACATAGCTAGATAGATGTACATGCAAGCATATGTCGATAGATACATGGGTGGTTGTCAAAATTATGGTCCCCTTTTGGCTCCTTATTATAATACGGCACCTACTATTTAGGGTACCCCAAAAGGGGCCATAATGTTGACAACTACCCATGTATGATACGACATTCTGTTGCTAGGTTTCTTCGGCAGCAAAGTCTCGGAAGCGTCTGAGGTCTCAGCGGAAGCGTGTGGACCTCCCAGCCGGAAAAGGCTCCATCTTCCTTTGCCAGACTCTGCAGAGGGCTTTAAAGGAAACTGTAAGAGTTCCTTTAGAGGTTATAAGGGTTAAAGATTTAGGGTTTAGGGTTAAGGGTTCTATGAAGCTTAGGGTTTAGGTGTTAGAGGTTTCAGTCGCTGTAGAGCTGAGGCCTTAGGAATCAAAGCTATTGCTTCTTCTTTCGGGGAGCTACAGTTGTGAATTGCGCTTTTGGATTACTTTAAGAATGTCAGGGCATGCCGTAAAAAAAATCGATCCTCTGTTCAACCCCAGAAGCTGGAACCAAACCCTAAATCCCAATATCCCAGAATGCCGCGAAAAAAAAAGACTTAACCTCATAAACCCCAGCACTTCAGAACCCCAAGCCCCTGTTCAAGTGAACCCGATACCCTACGAACCACAAAGCCCATACCCCAAGACCCCGAAGCCTTAATCGAAGCCTGGCTACTACCCTAAACCCTAAACCCAAAAACCCCTACCCCGAAAAAACCCATAGACCCCTGTCAAATCTTTGAGAAGACGATAGGTCGGGTCCTACTGAAGGCCCTACGCCCTATAAAACCCCTAAACCCTAAAGTTAGGGTTTAGGGTTCAGGGTTTAAGGATTTAGGGTTTAGGGTTTAGGGTTTAGAGTTCAGGGTTCAGGGTTCACGGTTGAGGGTTAAGACCCTATAAACCCCTTAAGCCAATCCAGGAGAGAAAGAAAGGGTCGCGTCCTGCAGAAGGATCCAGCGATTCAGTGGGAAACGCCTCCTCAGTCAAAGCTCTCGGCTTAGGCTTCATCAAATAGGGCTTTAGGGTTTATAATAAGGGTTAGGGGTTTAGGGTTTATAATAAGGGTTAAGGGCTTAGGGTTTATAATAAGGCTGAAGGGTTTAGGGTTTAAGGGCGCATGGAATCTTAAGTACTGGTGCTTGAGGAAGAGTGGGGGCAGGACTAACGCACCAGTAGGAAAGCCCTAAACCCTAAACCCTAAACCCTAAACCTTAAACCCTAAACCCTAAACCCTAAACCCTAAACCGTGAACTTGTTGCATGTTGCTGCCTTGCTTGTACGGATTACGGTCTCAAGAGTTTCGAGGCACTTGGGGCCTTAAGGACCAGGCTATGGGGCTTTGGGGTGTTCTGTTTGGTTTTCCGGGGTAGGAGTTTAAAGTTTACCTGTAGCCGAAAAAACCTACCCTTTTTGGGTTCCTTATGATGGTTTCTATATATAGTTCCTTGAAAAGGTAGGTTTTTTGGGCCACAGGTAGGGTTTAGTTTACAGTCGGGTTTAGGAGTTTAGGGTTTAGGGTTTAGGGATTCGGAAGTTGGGTTTCCCTTGGGCACGGATCATAAGGTCCCGGACTCTGGTTCACGACACCCTCGTTTTTTTCACATGAAGCTTAGGGCTCAGCGTCCTATGACATGTGACAACTGCTTCGGAAAGCTGGTGGAGATCTCAAGTCGAAGATCCGACTGTTTGTGCTTGGGATCGATATTGGATCCCGGATGGGCACACTCTTACCACAGGAACGCAGCGACCACAGGCACGGTTTAGCGATTAGGCTAGAAGCTGGTCTTAGATCTACTTGCGGTTAGGCTTTACCCATAGGCCCCATAGTAGTTCCTTTCGGGGATTACCTTATAGGATTCTAAATATGAACCCCACAAAGGAACTACTATGGGGACTAGGGGTATAGGCTGTAGGGTATGAGGTTTAGGATGTGGGGTTTCAGGGTTTCGGGCCTAGGATTTCTGTGGTAGGGTTTAGGGTTTAGGGTTTAGGGTTCGGGATTTCTGTCCGAGGGCTCCGCCATGCACCCATCAGGGCAACATCCACATAGTCTGCAAGGTACGCATCCGTTGAGATGGAGCTTACTGTCCTTGGCCCAGGACCGCACACTACCGCCCCATGTAGGTGTACTTTTTCAATCATACATAAACCAGGTCCAACGAATGTCGAGCACACACTGCTTTCGATGTTCAGGTTCCACAGCATGTATCTCTGTTGTTTTCCCATCCCTTTCTCAAACTGCTTGGTTTTTGTACCTCAAGATCCCATTCCGACTAAGGCGGTCCCCCGATTTTTCGAACCTCTGGGTTGAAGCGAAAGCGTTTCAGAATGCAGCTCTTGCTAAGTGCCCCGCACTCCTCGAGGAAACAAGGTCGTTCCACCTCAGAGTTAAGGGTATAGGGATTAGAAACATGAACAGTTGTGGGGATCAGGTTTGGGATATTAGGGTTTTAGTTTTCGCGGTTTCGGGTGCTATGCCCAAACGCCACCATGTAAGCCGACTACGATCATCATACAACAGCAAGGCCCACGAACTATCTAGAGATGTGATCATGACAGGTATGATGATGAGAACGGCGCATACAGCCGTGACAATAGTGATCAGATGCACAATCATGTCAAGGAGTGACAATCAAAAGGAAAGGCTGATGCAGTCATGGCAAACAGAACCAACACATGGGCGATTACTGTTGCAGTTACAAGAATGACAGAGAAGCAAACAGCGTGAAGACTCGCAACCCTGATGGCAACAATGGCAACAACAACCACCACCACCACTACTACTACTACTACTACTACTACTACTACAATGGAGCATGAAAGTGGTGGTAGCTTCAAGGTGCTGGGCCCAAACTGGCTACAACCTCACACCTCTGGCAGACCATGTCTTCCTCAAAGCTTTGCATCGACCCATCAAAAGACTGGGGTTTAGGGTTTAGGGTTTAGGGCTTATAGGGTTTAGGGCTTAGGGTTTAGGGTTTAGGATTCAGGGTTTAGGGTTTAGGGAATCTTGTCAGACACCATGTTCCTCAAGCAAAACATCTCAGGGCCCAAACTCCACTCTCTCGGCGCCCATGCTTCCACAACACCACCATCGCCTGGATCACCGGATGCTACAAGAGCCTTCCAAGGTTTCGGGCTTGAGGCCTTCTGCGGGTCATTAGGGCTTGAACTTCCTTCCCAATAAGCCAGGGAAATAAAGGGTTAAACTTTCAGATTGCTACTAAATTATAAGAACCGAAAGTTTAAAAGTTGGGTATTGGATAGGCTTTACGGCTCAGGGTTGAGAGAGGTTGTGAATTAGGCGCTCGAGGCTTCACAGGGCAACGGGTTCAAGGGTTTGCGGCTCTAGTCGTTCAGTTCAATGACCCTCCCGGCCAGGAGCAAAAAGTATAAACTCGTAGTCCAGAATGGGTCCGTTGAGGATCGGGTACCAAAGAAGTCTTGCACTCCAGAACCTAGTCTCTAACTAGACTGCGTCGACCAGTTTGGGTGGTGATTCGTACTTCATAAATGGAAAAACTAGGGAAACCTAACGTAGAGTTTTAGGGTTCAGGGTTTAGGGCTGCTGACAAACAAACCCCTTTTACCTTTACAAGGATTGTAATTGAAGGGGATCGTGATATGAAGACCCTCCGAGGAAGAGGGGCTCATGGATTAGGAGTCTGCATTCGTGAAGCCCCGAAGCCGCTCTGTAAGACCTTATAGCAACTCCCGATAAAACCCGATACGACCCTCTAAAAAGCCACTAGCACAGTATACAAAAACGCACGAAACGTGCGCTAGAGCCATGCAGCTCGACCTGGGCATGGGCTCCGTGTTTCTACTTAAAGGATCATGGGACTTAATTAGTAAGGTAGGGTTATAATTAACGTAACTATACTTCTAACCCCAAATAAAGGGGACTTATAACCTTACTTTACTAAGTCCCATGATCCCCCAAGTACTCCGCAGAAATCCCCATTTTCTCGAGGAAGAAGCATCAAGGCGGCTCGGGCTTCGAGCCCCGGGGGTGGCTATGTCCCCCACCTGAGCTCTGACAAGTCCATACTCCAGGTAGGGATTAGGGTTTAGGGTTTAGGGTTTAAGGTTTAGGGTTTAGGGCCATACTCCAGGTAGGGAATGCCGCTTGGAGGGAACTGTCCTCTCTTGCAAGCAACATCCGCGCGCAGCTTGCGATAGATGCCGCTCTTGTACGGCGCTGCATCCTGTGTGAGCACACATGGCTGGGTCAAGCAATTTGCATGCTGGATCGCGGAAGTTAGAAAGTCCTGCCAGGGCCAAGAATCTTGGTGCACATCTGTCTGCAACAATCGCACTACTACTTTGCCTTGTTGCATCGCCCAGTACTCCTTATGAAAGTCTCTCTGCGGCACTCCCCGATCGTCCGGGGCTCCTCCCCACCCCCGCCCGAAGTGGCCAATGTCACCATCCAGCTCAATCAAAATGGAATCTTTGTACAATCCAAAATCGAAAGGTAGGTGCCGCCCAGTGTCTGGATTCGTACACCCCCGCACCTGCGAGGTAATGAGCGAATTCGGGTATTCTGTGACCAACCACCGTCTCAGCTTCCCTTCTGTCTTCTTGTTGCAGAAACATCCGGGCGCTCGACCACTTTGCAATCTGTTCAGTGAAGTGCTCTTTGAGCGATGCCCACATTCCTTGCAGGTCACATCGATTGTCGAATATCGATCCTTAATGTTCTCACTCCACCAAGCCGACGTCATGCGGCTCGCACCGTACTGCTCGCCATAGCGGTCCTTCAGCATCGAAAGGCAACGAGCATGCCCTTCCCGACTGGACCAGCGAACGCCGCCGTTGCAGAAACATCCAGGCGCTCGACCATTTTGCAAATTGCTTAGTGAAGTGCTCTTTGAGCGATGGCCACATTTCTTGCAGGTCACATCGATTGTCGAATATCGATCCTTAATGTTCTCACTCCACCAAACCGACGTCATGCGGCTCGCATCGTACTGCTCGCCATAGCGGTCCTTCAGCATCGAAAGGCAACGAGCATGCCCTTCCCGACTGGACCAGCGAACGCCGCCGTTGCAGAAACATCCAGGTGCATAACCACGTTGCAAACTGGTCAGTGAAGCGCTCTTTGAGCGATGGCCACATGTCTTGCAGGTCACATCGATTGTCGAAGAACAATCCTTAATGTTCTCACCCCACCAAGCCGACGTCATGCGGCTCGCACCGTACTGCTCGCCATAGCGATCCTTCAGCATCGAAAGGCAACGAGCATGCCCTTCCCGACTGGACCAGCGAACGCCGCCGTTGCAGAAACATCCAGGTGCATAACCACTTTGCAAACTGGTCAGTGAAGCGCTCTTTGAGCGATGGCCACATATCTTGCAGGTCACCTCGATTTTCGACTTTGCATTCCTAATATTAGCTCTCCACCAAGCCCAAGTCATGTTGCTTGCATCGTACTGCTCGCCATAGCGCTCCTCAAGTATCTTCAAGGCTCGGTGCCATCCAGCCGCGCTTGCCCATCGAAATCTTGCAGGCTGCAGTTCTCTACTTGTGACTGCCTGCCTCTGGACAGCAAGTGGCCTTCGTCCTGGTCTTTTCGAAAGGCATGAGCTCCATCCCCGGCAAGGCTTCACCCTGGCCGACAGTATTGCTGTAAGGGCACACCACAGAAGCAAGAACCTACGGCGCGCCATGCTGATGGTGCAGACACCATGCTTTTACAAGCCAAGGCACGCCTGCGATGAACATGGACAGATGCAACGTCTGCTCAGCTAAGGCCGGGGATCAAATCAGAAAGAATGGACCAACAAAAACTCACCAGTTCGGCATAAACAACAAAACTAAAATAGATCAAACGCAAACACAACAAACACCCTAAGCCCCTAAATCCTAAACCCCAAAACCCTAAACCCTAAATCCTAAACCCTCTAAACCCTAAACCCCTAAACCCTGAAACCCTGAACCTTAAACCCTAAAACCCCCGAACCCTATAAACCATAAAACCCCTAAACCCTGAACCCTAAAACCCTAAAACCCCTAAACCCTTAAACCCTAAAGCCTAAACCCTATAAACCCCTAAAACCCCTAAACCCTTATAAAACCCCTATAAACCCTAAACCCCTCAACCCTTATAAACCCCTAAACCCCTA